TCATTATGCAAATTCAATTTCAACAAATCGCTCAACTAGAAAACTTAATAAGCTCTTGTCAAAGTCTTACTTTTCCTATTTATCTAACAAAAAACCATCGTTAAACCTCCTGTTTAGACAACCTTCAACATTTCGACATGTCACTCATTCAACCGTGAGAATAACGTGTTCTACCCTTATTTATACTCTTATTGGTGAATATATGTATATTGTTATTTTTCACACACATGTGATCAAATGCCGAAAGAACGTTATCAACCTGCCGCGTAACAGAAATAATGACGGGAACCTGTTGGCGTAGTAATTATTAGCAAATGTTATTCTTTGCTTCATGTCAATGGATTATTAGAAGAAAATTGGAATGGGTTAATACAAGAAAATGTGATGTGTGTCGTATTGCCTTAATTAAAATTTCCAGAATTATAGACAAATATGAAATTCATTACAATCCATAAAATGTTCTAAGTTCGATGCTTGCCTCGAACACCCTGATCCTGATGTCAAGCTGCAGTGACATCGGTTTTCACTTGGATATAGCAACATGTTTCCAAGTGAAAATAGCCTTTACCAAACTTTGTTGCATCATTAAAAAATTCATCAGTATTACAGAAATATAAATATAACAACTATTTGGGTTGTCATCTATAAAATTATATACCTAGTAGACGCCGTTGGGTGTTACTACTATTTTCTAGTTTATATTGTAAGATATTTATAGTTAGCAGTCTCTACTTATTGTTAATAAAAAACAGATTGCAGAATTAAATTAAATAGAAAAAAAATAGGAAGTTATCAAGGAGAGAAATACGAAATAGCATCATACCATCCAAACACTCTAATAAAAGACCTGCTAAAACAAGTTCCTATGAAAAGTTTAAAAAGAAAGTGGCCGGAAGATTAAATAAATTAACAATCAATATATTTATGTAAGGAAATTCCCCACTGGGGCCTGTACCTGTCAGCAAATAACCTCATTGAACCCAAGGTTCAATTTGGTTATAAGAAATAAATAAAAAAAAAAAAAAAAAAATATAAAATGCCACGTTCAAGATAATATCTCATTAATTTCTCGTTAAGTTCTGGTTGCTGTTGAACATATCAAAAATAATAATAAATATAGTAAACTAATAATAATATTAAACATTTGAAGATTAAACATCACAAATATTCGAAAATAAAAATTTGAATAACAAAGGTGAAAATGTGCCTCATTTGTAAAAATCTATGATTATAAATTATGACGATATAAAATTCGAACCCACTATATTTAACATTTCATAACAAATATTTATTATATATGGTTAAAACATGTTTAAAACGTTCACTTCTGAGTGCAAAAAAGCAATTTCAATTTATCCTATTAATTATTTTATTTATTTTCTTTCTTTGAAAATATTTTTATTAGATTACTATCAGCAGAAAATAGACATTTAAAACAAATTATTCTTTTCTATTATTTTTGATAAAATATATATCCTCATTCACAAGAGTATATTTTTCTAAAGAACAAGATGCTTTTAATAACATTTTAATTGCTGAAGAAGATTAATTATTATTACAATTACAAATTAAAATAACATCATCAGGATTTCTCAATATTTTCAAGTTAGATTTTCTAGTGTATTTTATTTTATTTTAGTTAATTAGTTTGAATTTATTTCATAATTTAATGTCACATTGTTGGGCGGTAGTTAGTTAAAATTCCATCATCAAGATTTCTCAATATTTTCAAGCTAGATTTTTTCAATTAAAGATATTCTTGAAATAATAAGTGTATTTTATTTTATTTTAGTTAATTAGTTTGATTTTTTTAATAATTCAATGTCACATTGGTGATTGGCAGTTAGTTCGTTATAGTTGGATTGGGAATCAATTAAAATATTTTAATAAAAGAATAAATTAAATTTAAGTGAATTATTCAAATTGGATGTTTAATATTTCGATAAAAACATATAATTTAAAAAAAGCCTATATATAAGAAATGATTTCAAAGATATTTATGATATATTCACGACTTAACATTGATTGATATTTCAAAATCCATTATTATTACTAAAAATCTAATTGAAATTATAGTTTATCACTTCACTTAGCTCATATTTTTCAAACATTTAATTTAAATATTTATTTTTAAATATAATTTCCTTTTCAGTTAAAGTTATAATAACCACCAGTTAAAGAAAAATGATAAAAACAGTTTCAAATTCCTTTGCAAACATACCACTACCAGTACCAATTATAAAATCTGAATGAAGATAAATGATTTTATGAAATATATTTTATTTTAATAACACCATTGCATTTAGTGGAACATTTTCTTGTTTATTTAATTCTTTTTCTTTTTATAACCGGTGAGATTTGCTCTTAATAAATAACCTCTGTAGAGCGAAATAATAAGCGTTTGTATAATTGTAGGGAATTATTTATGTTTGAAATATCTGAAATAAATTGAATTTAAATAGTTTATTTAATTTAACTAGTTTTTGATCAAAACTATTTTTTTTACTATTTGTTACCATAGTCTTATAGATCATACTAAAATATTACGGCCCTATCTATGACAGATCGTTCTATTTGAAGCCAGGTAGGTTGTCATTAACAATAATGGAAACCAAGCAACCGAATATATATATACATATTTATATATATAGCTATTCAAAAATTAACACTTGCAATTCATTCTTATAAAAGTAGCACAAGGCTTACACAAATTTATTATCTCAGAATCGGTCATAATTTCCATATTTTAATTTGTATTGATTGTGATCGCTTCTCAATTAATTCTGGAAAAGCAACTCAATTTAATCAAGTTTTAATATTTTCTCATATCGCTCATATCTCCATTTAATATGTGCCAACAAATTTATTAAGAGTAGAATTCGACACTGATTATATTAAAATACATCAATTGAGATTTATGTTAGGTTATTTCTTGGGAATAATTAAGTTTTCTTTACAAGAGTCATAAATTTTACGCCAATTTAAAGTAATTGACGATTTTTAATTATGATATAGCGATCGAAGGTCTTCTGAATTTTAGGCATTTAAGTAAAACATGTTCTTGTAATATCATTTTGATTGATTTATCATCTAAATCAATCATCATCGAATCAATCAATACAGTACTTTTTGCTAATTATTAGTTATTAAACATTATTTTACATTATTATTATAAGTCAATAGCTTGATTTGATTCTGCAAATCTGAAATTATTTCAAAATCTTCATACAATACCAAACTTCTCAAATTTCAGATGAAAAATTCCATATAAAAATAAATTTGCATAATATTTATTAATAATATAAATCAATTTATTTGATCAAATAGAATATATTTCACTATAAATAAATATGTACAAATAATTTATTATAAATTTCGATTACCAAACTACTTAACAATATATACAATTGCACAGTCTTCGCTTATCACTATTTTATAGACAAACATCGTGATCTATTAAAAATTAGTATACTTAATCAATCATAAATTTAAATGGCATCAAAAATTTAATCCAAAAAAATAATATGAAATAAAATAATAAGTTTGAATATTCTGGGTTGTTTAAATTATTTACTTAGAACTATTGTTACTTCTAGAAGATTTTGAAACTATAGAAAACATAAGAGAAACAGATTTTTTGAGAAGTAGATAAAAAAGTTGAATACAAATTTGTAAGTTAATGTAGTTCTGATATTTTATACTGCATCAAAAATATTATCATATGAAAATTATTGTATATATATGCAAAACTTGTTGACCTTGTTCATTTCCAACAATATTCATAAACAGCCCAGAAACATATTTTCAGAACTTAAATACTTATCAGTAATTTGGTATCGCTATTTTAAAATCTAGGTATATTAAAAAGTCTTATACCAAACTATGATTACATACTTAAAATTAGCTCTAGTAAAATAATAATATTAAACTACATATACATTTTTTCTTGGTCTGTTCTTTTGTATTGTAATTTAACGCCTCGTAATTTCTTTCAATTAATCATATTTTATAAATATCATATAATTGACGTAATTGTTAATTATTAGATTTTAAGGCACATATGTGTTGCAAAACAAAAGAACAAAGCTTAGACAATTTTCCCAATAAAATGAAATCATACACAAAAATAAATAATATAATTAATTTTTCAAATAAATACCTTCACCACAATAAATAAATAAATAAATACTTTCCAATTTTTACTTTTTCTTCATAATTCAAAATTCGAAAGTCTTTAAGCGTATTTCATACATATTTGATTTTCTAAAAGTTCTATAATTATATGTGCTTAACTGTTTATTTAGAAAAAAAATTATTATTAAAAAATAATAATCTTAATAAAATATTAATAAATAAATCAGTACACATAAGGCAGTGCAGTTAAACTGGCAGTAACACATTCTAAGACGAAGATATAAATAAAATATTTTGCTTGAATATATTTTTCGATTCAAATCAAATCTATAAAACAATAATATAATAATTTGAAAAAATAAACTTTAAGGTTTCAAATTTTTAATTTATTTTATAATTTTAGAAGCATTCAATTTTTCTGTCAGCTTAAACGAGCAAAATATTCATCATATCTTCATCTACTAGAATCTCAATATTATCTATAATTATAATTATTTTTATATTAATTTACAAATTTACAACCGACACTTTTGGTCCTTTGTGTCAACTTAACCAAAATGTTATATATGGCATAGAAAGTTTAATTTATTAAATTCAATGTTAAACGACTATTAAATTCATTTGATTACTTCTATTAAAATATATTTTTTTAAAATTAAATTTTGAAGAACTATTCACAACACTTATAACTTTTGAAATGGTAACTCACATATAAATTAAAATCAAGCATGGATATTTTTTAAATATTAAATAAGCCTCTACATAAAAATATAATTAAATGAATAATGAAAATATAAAGAAAATTGAGTACTGAAATATATTTAGTTGTTGGAATATTGTCATCAAATTTATTTAAAAAAACTTCTTCATGTACTCACAACACCTGACATTTTCTGTTGAAGTTCCCACCAAGCCATTACGTCAATTACTCCTTCGCCAGTTTGGCTATCCATGACATTTTCATCATCAACTTCTCGTTTGACACTCAAAAGACTGCCATAAACTCTTGCTACTTCTTGTTGGTAATCCAAAAACTGATCATCACTTTGCATCAACTCATCATCATTTAGAGGTATCTGATTTTCTTGATCTTCGTCAAATAATGGAGGAAGAACCCTGAAAGTCTCATATTGTTGTGGTGTGGATGCGTCTGATAGTGACAACGAAATTTGGTCATCAGGAAGGGAAAACGATGTGGTGTTTTGGGAGGTTATAGACTCCGTACCGTCTGTAAGAGCTAGTAAATCTTCTAGGGCTCTGATATATTCGACTGCCATTCGTAAAGTATCAACTTTACTGAGCTTTTTAGACCCTGTACCTGATTTGTGACCAGAAGCTGATTCAAAAGCAGCAGCTACTTCACAAGGAATATGTTGGCGCAACATTGCAAATCCGTTATTTACTTGTTTAACTCTGTTACGTTCCCTGGCATTTCTTCTAGCAACAGCATTAGGAAGAGCTGAAGAGGACTTATTATCCCTCAACTTCGACTTCTTCCTAGCCCTGAGCAAATCGGGTTGATTTTCACTGTTTTCATTATCAAATTTCTGTGGTTTTCGTACTATCAAAATGTCATGCTTGGCAAGGGGTTTAGGATCTATAGTGGTCAAATTCTGATTGTTGTTATTGGTCAACACTAATTTCACATGAGGTGCATAAGTCACAACACCTATTGTAGCCATGGCTAACTCACGTCAATTTTTAATTAATCCTTTCACTGAGTTACCTTGAACTGGACACGTCTACCCTTAACGAGAGCGGTAAGTGAACTAAGGTTTGCGAAAAATAGTACGAGCGCGCGCGACAAAACAGGGAAAACCCCGCCTATTTTGATATATAAGGGTATTGAAAATCGCGCAGTAGTGGGGCGAGTTTGAAAATATATTGAATTATATATCGGCGATATGTTCGTTGGTACCTCTATAGTTGTGTACGTGCATTTCAGTTTGATTACCTTCACATACGCGGGGTACCTTTAGGGGTCTGTCGGGAAAGAGCAGGGAATGTCAAGAAAAAAAAGAGCTGGATTATAAAGAAAATTTCGTTTTATTGAAGATTGATTACACTCTATAAAGAAGAGAAAATGGCAAATATTGAATTATATATGCTTCTTGCACTTTTTTTTATAAATACCTAAAGCTATGACCAGCTACTAAATATAGTATGATATTATTTTGCGATTAATAATTATGAATAAACCTGAAAAGTTTTTTTTATTATTATTACATAAGGAAATATTAATTTAAAAATACATGTTTTATAGTTATTAACTGAATTTTTCCAGATTTTTGCTAAGAAGTTGTAATAATTTTCTTCGTTTAATCTTAGTTTAGTTTAAATACAACGTCATAATTAAATTTATTAACTAAGTATTTTTAGTACAATCAGTTTAAATAATCAAGAAGAAAATTTTTGTAGTACTATAAAAATAATACTTCTATCTTAATAATTTTATAACAAGTCATTCATAGAGATTAAGATATATCTAGTATTATATAATACTAATAGTAATCTAAGCAATGTTTTATAGCCTTCACCATACTTAATAATTTACATTTTATGACATAAAATAATAAAGAGAATAAAATTCCTTTTATAACAAAAGAAAAGAAAACATGAAAAGCAAATATATAATTTGAATAAATTAATGTAGATACTGTTATATTATTAATTTACTATTGCATATGAAACGCTAGATTTCTCTCTAAATTATTATTTTTTCTTCTAATCTAACTTTTTTCTCTCTCTTTTGATGCTTGTAAGATTTCACTGTATCTTGATTGCTATTTTCAAGGATATAAAAAAATTTAATTTAAAAAAATGATTAACCCACAAACTGTGACAAAGTTTGTGGGTTAGGCCATTGCATAACAGTTTGTGACTGTTATGCATTGGCAGTAAAAATAACATTATAGAAAGTATTGATATATTCGAACATTAAATACTTTTTCAAATCAAAAATTAAATAATTTTTTCCTCAGTACCGTAAAAAATTTTATCGAATTTTGAATCCTATCTAATGAAATTAAAATAATTTAAGTATTTCAATTTGTAATAATTGAAATACAAAACTAATAATTGTTTGTGCTCATTTATATTAAGATAATATCTTAATTTTTAATAATCTCGTGAATTCAACGTTATATTTCCAATTCATAAGAGTAATAGAGTTAATTATTTTAGCACTTTAACAATCATGAGAAATTATAAATAAAGAAATTTTTTATATAATATAATATATATTTATATATATATACCACGGATAACTCAAAAATAAATAGAATGTGATTTTTTTTAACAATATTTGATGTATAACCAGCCACCTTGATTCTTACGACTTTGCTGTGGGTGCGATAAAAAGAACCAACTGAACCTTTATTTTAGCAAAGATGTGAACAATAAAAAATAGTAAACAAAAAAGTAAATTAAGTTTAAAGAATGCAATTTTATAAGAGATAAATTAAATAAATTGATATTCCGGCTCTCCTGATGAATATTTTTGTCTAGACTGTCGTGTCTATTGTACTAGATCACGAAATATCACGTGGGAAAGGGAGGAGTATAGTAAGATATCACGAGTACTTTTTTTACCTGAATTGGTTTAAAAAAATCTAAACGTTTTCAAAAAAATAAATAAAAAAAGTACAATTTTTTCTCATAACTAAAAATATACGTGATGTTTGATGGAGGAGTGGGAGTAATTTTGAATATCACCAATAGATCAATGAAATATACTGTGCTATCTTTGTAAAAAAAAATCCCATAAAATTGGTATCTTCTATTCTATCTATTTATTACTGAAAGATAACTTGGACCTTTGTGCTCCGCCCTACCCTATGTCAATTTTTTTTTATATTAAAAATTATTATGTGTATTTTTATTATTATTTAAAATGTATGTAAACACTTTTCTGTTAAATTACTGAAACACGTAACATATTTACATAATAAAATAGTTTTTCTTCAGTACGCTTTGTATGACGAACCGCTTAGTATGACAAGATTTCGTGTGTCCCTTCGATGTCATACTAAGCGGATTCTACTGTATATTTATTTTTCGGTCCTCGGCCTCGTTTTGTCCCTCAATGACCGTAAGCGCGCGCGTCAGAGGGGATGTCGTGTTCTAGAAAAGCGCGGCGGGAACTACCATATGTTTTTTGTTGTACGAAGGTATTTGTACGTTACGCGGGCTCCGGGCTTTTGAGCGTCAATAGATTCGTTGCACATGAATTCAGCGTGCTATCGAATTGCCTCAGTATTGGTGACGGTACAAAAGCACGTGTTATAAAATTAATATAACGTTGAATAATCAGAGAGCTAATAGAACTAGACCGAGGATTTATTTACCTATTAAAATTAATAATAAATAATTAATAAAGCGCAAAACACACATTTCCTTGTCATAATTCTATGATTTTTATATATAAAAAGTAAAGATCAAACTAGTGGTGTATGGCATCGTGCCTCCAGACAAATTGCTAAAACTTCTCGTACCAAAAATTATTTTCCTAAAAAAAGATTTTTTTTTAAAACTTTGGAAAAATTAGATTTTTGAGAAATTTTACATTTTTTACTTTTTTGTAAATAAAACTTTCTCTTTATTTTGATATATTTTGGAAATTTTGTTCTTTTTTTCAAAGCAATCGCACTGCTTTAGCTGCATAGAGATGAAACTAATCTGCAACTAAATAGTAAACTAATTAGCACTACTCCTTATCAATACGAATCAAATGTTTTTTTTAATTATTCAAATCGGTGTGAACTGTGTTCCGAAATCGTCGACGAAACTTTGTATCCGCACACAAAATGGATGTATATATGTATATACATCCATTTTTTCTAAGATATGCCAAACGTTCAGAAACCTTCGAAATGTAAAGATATATAAAAATTTTCATTTTCGATTATTTGAGATTACTATTACTTACCCTACGGAAAATAAATTCTTGAATTTATTATTAATTTTATATCATTATACGGCAGTAAGATAATACATATACGACACATTTATATTTATTATATTAATATGTAAATTAAGCTACGTTACATGATATTTATTAACTGCAATGAGAATTCTCAAAGTAAAAAACAAAAAAAACCCTTCATAAACTTATATGTAACTATGACAAAGTAATTTCTATAAATTATTGTTATAGAATTAGAGAAGTATTATTATCTTTAAAAGTTAAAAACTACAGTTTAAATAAAATTATTTCCTCAGTAGTTTAATATGAGCTCAATTACTGTTTTATTAAATTTTGAATAGATTAGAGATCCTACAATCAATAAATCCTATCTAATGAGTATGAAAAAAAATGGTTAAGGTGTCGAAAAAATCATCTAACTTATAAGGATGCTTTAAAAATATATTAAAAATTATACACAGTTATATAATTATATATAGTTAAATCATACATTATACCAAAAAGAGGCAATGATTATTTCTATTTTTTTATTTTTGAAAATGAATATTCATACGATCCAAATTAAGATCAAGGAAAATAAAAACTTTCAATTAAATTGAATTAAAAACGTATGCTAATATGCACAGATACTGTTCAAAATATTAATTTAATTTAAAGGCTTTTTGATATATTATCATGTGCAAATATTATGAAATTGCTTGAATTTGGATTTTAAATATGCAAAAATTGACAAAATAGAAAATTTATCTTTATTGCAAGTAATAAAATAGTATACAAAAATTCAGCAAAAAGCATTCGAGAAACAATGTTAATGTATGTAAGTGAATTTTATAGGCCAATTCTGCAGCACAACAGACCAATGTTATGGCAAGGCCAACTTCTATACATTATGTTACTGAATCATACTGAATACTGTCAAAATGTCATGTATTTGCTGTGCATTCAGGCGTTTTACACATAAACTGTAACGTCACTCGTATATTATGAAGCTGAGTCAGAAAGCCCTGTTGTCTAAGATCGTTTTTGACATTTGTGCGTTTCTAGGTTAGTTTTTCTATTTGACGCCTGACTGCAGAGCAATCACATGGCTTTTGTCAATATTTAGAACGAATTAGTAAGGAAAGTTCTTCACAACCTAGCCTTGAAATAATTTTTTCTGTTATGCGGCAGAATCGGACCATGACATACATTTTTAACCAAACTAATAAAATTAAAAACATGCAAAAACTGGAGTAGAATTAGTAAAACTATACTTTTTGAATTGGTAAGTTAACCGTACAGCGTATTGATTTACAAAAAAATTGCAAATCTATTTTAAAAGATATATTTGTTTGCACACCTTCCATAAATCTTATACAGTACGTGGTACTTATGATAATATAAAATTTTGTCAGTGCTTTTATCTTTTGTGTTACTAAACACACAAAGAAGACACTTATCAAAAGACAAGTTGTCTAATTATCAAACATAAATGTGTAATACAATTTTTCTACTAGATCTCTCAATATTTGTGCCGTCGAAAGAAATGCGCTCGTGCCGCCAAATTGATAGTATGATTAAAAAAAATCTATTATGTTCAGATTTCGAAGTAATACGAAGCAAGTAATAGCATTTTACTCGGTTTCGAACAGCAGGATAATTAATAATGCTGTATAGATTTTTTTTGTGACTTACTGCTCATCATTTTCATAATATAGAAAAGCTTTTGTCAGGTATAGATCGAGTATTGTAAGTAAATATAGTATGTGCTAGAGTAAA